TAATTTTCATACGAAGATAAAACTGACACTTTAAAAGGTAAACATATTTTTGTCTTGCTGATGGTATTCCATTCAATAAAGTAAATTTCTCTTCGGGCCGTCTTAATTTTTTTTTCTGCTTTTGACATTTTCATTTAAAAAAAAAAAATAGTATCAGAAGAAAGCTAAACAAGATGCACTTCACCTGATAAGTATATAAATAAAACGATTTCAGTATAAAATGAAAAACAAACCCTTAGGTAGGAGCCATCTTTTATCGTTCGATTTGTTGGCAACATATGAAAGGAATTCAAGTCAAGCGAATAAAAAGTAAAACAAAAACTTGAGAACACGTAACTGGAAAATTTAAGAGAAGTTCATTTTTTTATGTTTTCGTTCGCTTTTGTACTTCGTTCCCAATGTATTTTTCTCCTTAAAAGTAGTAAAAATGAAAAACAATAAATTTTCTTTTTTGAAAATTACGTCAAGGAAAATTCTCATTGGAGAGTTTTCTTGCTGCGCTGATTTAGAGAATTGAAAGGAAATTTTATTTTTCGGCAAAATTTACTTCGTTGATGTTTTGGGAATAACATTTGAGGAACGAAATGGGGAAAATGAACTATTCTAAATTATTTTAAGAACTCATTTTCGTATTTCCTCTGAGAAATGTGACATACTTAAATTTTTTAAAACATACATTTTAAAGTTTTATGCTATTTCGACCATATTTCTTTTCCACTCATACTTTTAAACCCATGGTTTATGTTATTTTGAACATTTTCCTTTTCCACTTATAAAATTTTTAAACACTTTGTTTAAGCTGTTGTGATAGTTTTTCTTTTCGCCATATTGTATTTTTAAACAATTGGTTTATGCTGTTCTGTCTATTTTTCTTTTTTATTCATTAAATTTTTCAACAATTTGCTTAGGCTTTTCTGATTTTTTCCTTTTTCACTAATTATATTTTTAAAGAATTTATTTCGGTTGTTCTTACTGTTTTGTCTTTTTCACCCATTGTATGTTTAAACAATTTTTGTTGGCTTTTCTGTCAATTTCTTTCTGTTTTACTCATTATATTTTCAAACAATTTTTTTATGCTGTTCTGAGATTTTTCTGTTTTTCATTTATATTTTTAAACAATTTCTTTAGGCTGTTCTGTCTATTTTTCTTTTTATCCAATACAGTTTTCAGCAATTTGCTTAGGCTTTTCTGATTTGTTTTCCCTTTTCACTAGTTATATTTTTAAAGAATTTGTTTCAGTTTTTCTTACTATTTTTTCTTTTTCACCCATTGCATGTTTAAACAATTTTTTTAGGCTTTTCTCTCATTTTCTTTCTTTTTTACTCATCATACTTTTAAACAATTTGTTTATGCTGTTATGAAATTTTTCTCTTTTTCATTTATATTTTTAAACAATTTCTTTCGGCTGTTCTGACTATTTTTCTTTTTAACCCATTATATTTTTAAACAAGTTGTTTACGCTGTTCTAATCATTTTTCTTTTGCACTCATTATGTTTTTAAAAACTAGGTTTATACAATTTTGTCCCTTTTTATTAAATTTTTTTTTACATAAATACGCAACAAGTATACACAATTAGTGAAAATACAATTGTAAGATATTTTATCAATACGCATTTATTTCTTTTAAAAGAATTTGCAAAAAAGTCATTAAACACTAAATATGGGTCGGATTTTTAAAAAAATTCAATTAAATAAAAATTTAAAAAAATATATAACTTACTGAAATACAGACTATGTGAACGCAATATGAAAAAATTAATGAGACATAAATTTTCCCTTTAATAATATGTACACTTTTGTGAATCTAATAGAAATATTTATTTTATTTTATTTATATTATTTTTTCATTATTTATTTTAATACTATTTTTTTGTATTATTTTTATTCGTATTATTTATTTTAAAAAATTTAGTATGAATTATATTAAGATTTTTAATCACTCTTAATCACTCTCTCTCTACCTCTATCTCTATATCTATCCTTTGATTAAATTCTATATGTCAGCATGAAAGCAAAATGTGAGAAACGATTACTAAAAAAGGAAATAAATTTTAAAAAATCACATTTAAAAAATCACATTTAAAAAAAAAAGATGTTAAATACATCAACGAAAAGAGTTCTTTCATCAAGTCAAATTTCAACTATGCAGCTTCAGTTTTTGATAAAGTAGTCGGAGTGGTATTTTTACGTCAAGTTTGACATCTAATATTTCTTGAGCGAATTTTCTAATGTTAAAAGTTTTTATTCCATCACACAACCAGTACATTTTCTACACATTGATTGTTTGTCGTAAAGTTTACGGCTGGGGACTTTTCTTCATTTTTACACATTTGAAACCGTTTGCAAAAGCTATGGCTAAAAAGCCATGCATACAAAACTCAATGATTTTGTTGTTATTTAAATAAAAATTTAAGAAAATATATAACTTAGAATATAATAATTAGAAAGGTTAAGTAGTTCTTTGGAAGGTGAATGAGACTTACGTGTTCCAATAATTCAGGATTACTATGTGAAGAGAAAGATACACTATAGACACTCCTCATGTGTTGAAGGAATGGAGGAAATATTGTGGTGTTAACGCTGCGATTTGGACTTCCATTCAGCCGATCATGATATTGGCATATTTGCCTTCACGGCTACAGTATGCACCCATCTGCAAGGACTTAAGTGGCTTCATAAGGTGGAAATCGTAATCCTTATCACATGACTCAGCTTTCATTAATTTTGCTTTAAATAATTTCACACCTTCTTCTGAGTGTAATCCTCCACAAACTAAACACAATTTAACGTAGATATCTTATATCTATAAAATTTGAGTATTTATTTTTAAATGAAATATAAAAGAAACACTACCACTGAAGTACTAAAAGCTTTCTGTGTATTAATTCTGCTTGTAGATCTGTGTATTAACCATTTAATAGGATAATGAAATATTAATAAAAATTCCGAATTGCTTCCTTCACGTTTTAATAATATTACAGTGCGACAAAAAATTGACAACCCTGATTAACTTTGCCTACAATTACCTGTAGTGCCTACAATTTTGAAGAAAAAAAAGAGTGTGTAGTGAACATCCTATGAAGCTACTTACTACCTGGCAGCTGGGTATATATTTTAGTTGAGTGAGCTAATCTGTCAATCTCATGAAGCTGCGCTGACGCAATTATATTTCCTTTATTCGTTCAACGCATGAGGAGTTTCCATTGTCTTGCACTCCACATTTGGTGACTCTGGATTATTCAAATAAGAAACTCTCATTCACCCCAGATGAGAACACTGCAGATCCGCTAAACACAAATAAGTTTAATATTTCCTATCCCTCCCAATAGATTGAGTAGCATTAGATAAACTAGTTAAGCCTTATTTTATAGTGCAATTGACAGAACACAACTTAATGTAACTCAAATCTCCATAAAGCCAAACATTACTATCCAGAATTTACGTTTTTTAACCGTACCAGTTGTGAACGGTTTCAAACCCGTATATGTAAAGGAATCATCAAATCGAAAACTTTATAATTAATTGGATGGGCAAACAGCTGCAGATTATTTTACCGTATTTCTAGAATACAATTGTAACAGAATAGTTGGAATTTTCTGATCATAAAATAATTTGCTTAAAAGTAAGAAACAAGTTTGTGCAAAAAAAAGTCATTTTAAATTGATAATATGTAAATTAAAAGCAAAAGGGATCCTTATTTTAACCTTTGTAAATAATATTCAAGGTTTGGAAATAATGTGCAAGGAAAAGCAAGGTTCGTTTATGAGAAATCATTAAGCCACAAAAATGTCGCGATTTGTTTTAAAATTAAGACGAAAAATCTTTAAAAGGAATAATGAATATATTGTAACAGAAAGTAAAATATGTTTCTAATAATCCAAACTAATCAAGCGTACCGTTTTTGTGTTTTTGGTTCCAAATTTGAAGTTAATTGAGAGTAGTTAATAAATATTCAGAAATCGCTCATTGGAAGACTACCATGATAGTTAATAAAATTTAAGAAATCCTTCATTTAGAGAACATCGAGATAGTTTATAAACAGTAAGAATCAAAGATCCTCTCTTTTTAATGATAATCTGGCAAATTTTCTATTTCAAAAAGCATTTGATAAATTTTATATTTCCTCATTACTCAGTTTGTATTTTTTGAAACATTTGATAAATTTACTGTAAGTCAGCTATGTTTGTGAGAAATAAATTATGTGATTGCAATTTCGTTTTATTTTTACTCATTTAAATTTTCTTTTAGATTATTAAGTCAAAAAATACAACTATTATCGAGTCGTTTTAAACTAATTGAATTTACATCACGGTTAAAAAAAAATTTATTAAAATTAGTTCCAAAAATGTATTAAGAATTTTTACACTATTGTTAGCCTCCATTCAATATAGAATTCATTATATATTCGTTATTCAGAATATATATTCGTTATTTCAATGTATAATAAATCACTTTTCATAAATCCTTTTTAATATATAATAAATTACGGTTTCAAACCTGCACAAGTAAGGAAATGATTCCATTAGGAAACTTAATTGTTAATTGGAAGGGCAGATTGCTGCTATTTATTTTACCATATTTTTAAAAGGAAAATTCTAGCAATGCAGGATTAATTTTCTTATCAAAAAACAATTTGTTTAAAAGTAAAAAACAATTTTGAACAAAAACCATTTTTAATAGATAATATAAAAATCTAAAGCAAAACAAACCTTTATTATTTTAACTTTTAGAAAAAACATACCATAAGAGAAGCAAGTAACGCTTGTGAGAAATCATTTAATAAGCAATAGAAATGCTGTGGTTTGCTCTATTTGCAATTTATAAATTTCTGCAGTCATTGAATTTACGTTACTGCGAAAAAAAATTTATTCAAATTAGTTCTAAAGATTTAATATAAATTTCCATACTGTTGTCAGCATCAAGTTTTCAATATATAATAAATCACTTTCCGGTATATCCGGTATCCGGTATAAACAATTATTTCCAATACATCACTTACTTTAATTAAAGTTGGATCAACGCTATCTTTGTAATGTCAACAATTGACAATAGACGGTACAAAATCCCGAATCATTCGGTTTGTTTACATTCTACCCAGTCTCGCCGTATGTATAGGTAGATATCCAACTAGTTAACCATCGACACTAGGTCATTTCTAGTTCACCAGCGTCATCGGTCGCCATGGCAACGATTGAATTGTGAGGTAAAGAGAAGAGTTAGGGGTTGACCAGAAAACGATATCTTTACTCCCTTATATCAACTCATCCCGCTCTCATGATACTAAACACCATCAGAAAAGACATGAAGATTCAATGATACCATGTGAACTGATAACCGTCACGTTTTCGCTGTGAATTAGTTGTTATAAAGAGAAAGGGTGGCAACTAAAAAAAAATCTTGTCAACGCCCAAAACTAAGCGATAGGATTAGGTGCCGTTCCCACAGATCAATATTTTTTTTTCTTGTGTTGGGCTATCTTTTTTTTTGCACAGGAGTTAAGTAAAAGAACAAAGTGATTTGGTTAGTTTTATTAGATACGGCATTCCACCATTAGATTTAAATAGAATGGTATTGATTGTCTTAAATATTACAATCTTCCTCCTCAAACTTGGTGCATTTAAACAGATAGTTGATTGACACAACTTAGAATGTTGCCTGAAACTGTAAAAAAAATTATATTTTTAAAAATAATTATTTTAACTAACTCGAATAAAAGCTTTAAATTTAACCATTTAAGGGAGCCATTAACCATTTTATGATATTAGTATATACAATATTATTAGTATACGTGGGTGTTTAAAAAAAGAAAGGTATAAATAAAAAGACCGCCGTACTATTGTACAATTGCTCATACTAACTCACAATAATAATAATAATATATAGATGAACAGAATTTAATGTTTAATATGAATAGTTTAAAAGGAGATATTTTTAAAAAAAATAGAATGTTATAAAGCATTAAAACATTATAAAGCATTAAAGCACATCGACAAAAAATTTTATGGATAAACTGTAGAATATAATTCTGAAAAACTACATTGTAGAAAGAAATACCGTAAAATTTACGGTTACAATCCAGTAGTTGAGTTGGTTGTGCAAAACCGTAAAATTTGCCAAATTAATCCGTAGTTTCAAAGGGTTTTTTTCATTTAATAACAAGTTTTATAAGTAAAAATTACGTAGAAAATCAGTAATCAAACTAGTTTTTCATCGTAACAAAGCAAGTTTTTACAACAAAAATTACAAATAAAAGTAAAAGTATTATCTCATCAGACTTTTATCACATTGGAAGAAGTTTTCGCTTTAAAAATTCGAAGTAAGTCTATACTCTCAGCAGATGTAAATGTTTCAAATCAGCAAAATTTGTATCTCCATGTCCCCGCTATGAGTCGAACTTGGGTTACTTAATTGGGAAACGCGTGCTCTGTCCCTTGAGCCACTGCAAGTTCAAGTGTTTTTTTATGAAGAAATATTGATAATGTGAAATTCACTTCAATATTGTACCAATTTAACAATAAATTCAAATCGCAGCTTTATATATACGATATTCAAATCTTTATATATACGATATTCATTTCAGCCAAATTCAACAAGTAATTACTAAAATGTAAGAGCAAGTTTTGAAAATAATAGTAAGCTTGGAGAAAAGATAACTTTACATTACGGAACGTAAAACTGCATGGCAAAACCAAGAATTTCAACTGACGGTTTTATTTCGTTAGTGACCAGATAGAAAAAAGGAGAGAAACCGCTTTATCAGCAAAAAGACTTTAAATTGTTAAATATGCGAAGAAATTCCGTAAAAAAAGAACGGTACAGAACTTTTTTTTCAAGAAAAAAGGATGCATTTTAAAAATAATGAATATTTTTTATTTAATTTATTGATCAACATTCCTGTAATGAAATTTTCGCAAAAAAGGAAAACTGAAAGCAATTACGAGTTAAATTTTTTATGACACTAATTTAATAATTTATAAAAAGTTACCAAAAATTAAACGTTACAAACTTCCATTTCTTGGTTGTCATTGAAAACTTTATTACTACCAGCACATGTTTATTTTTTTCTTCCGCTTTTTGAGGATTGATAAAATATGTTCTAGATACAAAAAGCTATTTGTACGGATAGAAATGCATCAGTTTCAACAATTAAATTGCATTCTTATCTTTATTCAATCAGGTAATTAATATTAATATTTTTTTATGAGCTAGACAATAGTATTGTTTTTTTTCTATTAGCTAATCAATTAAGTTCTATCAGCAGTTTACAATCACAACTTGTCCACAACTGCCCTCTGTAAACCACAGAGGCCATGTATATTAAGGCTCCATAATTTTATTAACAACAGCATAACTGGAGCAATGTGAACAGCACTGCGCACAATGTTTCCTTTTCTTCCCAGCCGCGCTGGCTTTAACCATACAGCCGCGCTGGCTCCAAAAGCTCTGAAAGCTCCATTTGGGATCGAACCCCAGTCTCTCAAAATGATAGCTCAGAGCCTTTAACCATACAGCCGTCGTGGTTACAAACTGAGTCTTTAATTATTCACTACTTAATACTCAAACAGCTGATTTATAACTCAAAGAAACATTTCATAGCAATGCTTTAGAAAAAGGCAACGCAGACGTTATTATTCTGTAATGAAATTATTTAATATTATTCTATAATGACGTTAGTTTCTAACATTCTAAAATGACTTCTTTCAAAATTATATCAAACTAATTTTTCTCAATACATCAACGCTTATTACCTTTGCCGATTTCTTTAAACGAAGATAAAAAAAATTTGGAAGTAGACAATAAACATGTTACTACTGAAAACAATTTTATGTATCATAATATAAATTGATTCAAAATGCAATACAATATTCTATAACAACTCTGTTCCATTTTCTTTATTTTAAAGCTACTAATAAAAAAATTAAATGTCGGTTTCATTAACCAAAACTATTATTATTATTATTATTATTATTATTTTAAACAGGAAATGTCAGTACTATACTATAAAGTAATTTTTCCACAATTTTTCTCCGTACGTATAACTTTAAGATAACGTCAGTTTATATTATTTTAAATAAAAACTATTTTAATATCCTATTATTTTATTATAAAATTCCTTTTTTTTTCTTCAGGCTAATCGAGAGATTAATTTTGGTACTCCCTACGCATTTTTTCTATTATAATAATATAAGATTATAAGATATATTATAAGATTACTTTATAAATTTTTTTCTATTATGATGAAGAACTTTTTTAATTTTTCATCAATGATAACTTTTTAATTCAAAAGTACGAAGTGGTTAAATGTAAAGCCTAACTTAATCGCTAATATTTATTTTTAAGTCTACTTAAAAGTATTTTGTCAACGAAAAAGAACTGAAAATTGTAAATACGTTAATCCCTCCCCATATTAATATATGGATAAAATCTGTTACCAAAGTTTGCAAACTCTTGTTTTAAGAATAAAACGAAACAGGCATTAATTTGTTTTTGTTTTGTCTTTTTCTTTCCTTTCTAACCAGTATTACATCCTATTCCTTTTTACTTCTCATCCAGTGTCATGTCCTATCTCTCTTAACATCATATCCAGAATCCTCTTATATTCTTATCTTCTTATATATCCTCTTATCTTCTTAGCCAGTGTCATATCCTATTAATATTATCTTCATATCCTTTTCCTTTTTATCGTTATATTCATTATCGTGATTCTTTTCTCAATTCTTATCTCTTACCTTGTTGTTGTCGTGTCCAAGCAGTGTAGAGGAATCAAATAGCATTTAAGGCATACGGAAAAGTTCTGACAATGTCAAAGACCACCTTCCTTAGAAAATATTAAAAGAAATTTTTTCATAAGCTAATTTAGAACTTAATTCTTTGATTTGTTTATTTGTTAATAATGCGTTTTCAGAAAAAAAGCAGCGTATTTACAAATTAAATTTTTAGTTGTTTAAAAAATTTTTATTTTCCTCAATATGACATTTTAATTGTTAACAACAATACAGCTGGCAAAAATTTCGTCTTCCTAGTATTTTCTGCATTTCGAAACTAAAACAACAAATTAAATATTCACATTACCTTCATAATTTTCTTAATAAAATGAAAGCTGACAAGATCTGACTTTAAACTAACAACGAAATCTCTTTATTTCCAGACGACCTGCATACTCCAGAGCTCCAAGCGATACAACCTCAAGAATTTCGTGTTCCGATGTGGCAACATTCCAAAGATTAATGGCTACCTTTCACGTGTGAATGTGCACTTTTGGACTAAAATTTCATTTTTGGACGACGAAAAGTGAGTCGCAGAAATCTATTTTTGTTAGAAAGAATGAAAAGAGCCAAGAGAAACATTTAAGAAATTCCTATCTAAAAGCACCTGAGGATAAATATTGACTGCGACTAAACGCATTAAGTGAGCTTTTTTTTCCCCGCCAAAACGTGCCCAAGGAATAGAAAGAAGATGGATGAAAGAGAATTTCTATTGAAAATTTTCCCAGTTTCTTTCTTAGAGCAAGAAAAATTATTACCTGCCATAAGCTCAGTTATTGATTTTTAAACTATTTCAGGTGTCTGTACATTTTTTCACTATTCTTTACTATGTCGTGAAAGAATGTCTGGCGTTAAAACATGGAGGGTATTTTTTTGAATCTAAAACACAGCTGTCTATAACATGATTTTGTTTTTAACTTTCATTAGACAAAGAGGTATTGCGTGATGTAAAGTACTTCATGAAACGCGCAAGAAAATATTTCCGAGTAGGAAAGTCCTCTAAGAATTTGCTCTATTTTGTTTCTTTTAAGTTTTTAAATAAGTTATAGTTAAAAGAATACGGCGTTTACTGTTTCTATGAAAAAAATGATTGAATTTTATGCAAATTTAATGAAATCTCCAATCTATTACTGTGAAATAATTTATTACAAATAATAAGGTCTCATGTGTTTTATTTTCTTCGCTATTGTAAGTAAAAATAATATTTTTTGATCAGATTGAAATATTACTTTTAAGCCAATTTCTAAATTAAGATAATTACAATCTATTGCTATAAAATAACCTTCGATAAAAAAAGCAGTGACTAGTGTGTCTATTTTTTTTCTTCTTTGAATTAAAAATGAAAAAATATTTGAGTAGACATTTCTAAAATATTGCTTATAAGCTGAGTTTTAATTTGCGATACAAATTTGATGAAATTTTCAGTCTATTGACTTTAAAATTATCAATCTATATAAAAGAAAGATAAAAACTAACAAACAACAGACAAAAAAAAACAGACAGAAAATAAATATTTCTTCAAA